AAAATTTTATAGAGTTTTCTGGCATCTTAAATGATCCATCAACATAAGAAGTTGAGATAAAAAAAACTAAGTTAATATAAAGAAGTCGAATGCTAATTAAAAAAATAATTGTATCGAACTATTCAATATTCTCTTTCTTCATGTCAACACTCAAACTGTCATTGTCTTCAATATTGGATTTACTATCTCAATCATTAAGCATGATTTTTTCTACATTTTACTAAAAACAAATTTTTAATGATAAAATATTTATAAATATGACACACATCACTTTCACACAAATAGAATTTATCTCGTCTAAGTTATGAATATAGTCAATGATTTGTTGTTTTTCCTCGTCACTGAAATATTTATCTCCATCATGAAATTTCTTTTCCTTCTTCTCAACAACGTCACTATCTCCATCACAATATCCATTACCTCTAACATTAGCACATTTTTTTTCCTTCACAATATCATGGAAAACAAAAAGTTTGATGGCAAAATATTTTCAAATATGAAATATAATTTTCACGAATATAAAATTTATCTTGTTTGAGTTTTGAACATTTTGTCAGAATAGCTCTTTAATTCTTCCTTATCTTCAAAATTATGACTCACTAATAGGGTTCTTGATATTCTAGTGAGTGAGATTGATGTTGAGCTTTAACTTCATTTCCTTCGCAACTAATCATCTGTAGCCAAATTGTATATTCGACCGGGAATCATAGTTTAGATAAAGCATGCAATGTAACAATGTCAACTTAAAAGAACATATACTAAAAAAACATTAGTTTGATATTTCTCCACTCTTTGACTTACATTAAAAACATGTTTCCTTCTTGCTAATTTTATCGTTGGCCATCAATTCTTCAATTTTGACTTACGTGAATTAATTTATGAATGTAAGATGGTAGAACTAATTTTTTAATGTTAAACAATCATAATAACTGGAGTGATTATAAAATGATTAGTGTTATCATGGATGATATTATAGGTTTGAAGATTGAATCGGATCATTGTTTTAATGATTGGTTGATTCCTTGCATAGAATATTTTTCCAATGCATAGAACCACCCGTTGGTCCGACCAATTATGTTTTATGTAAAATCAATTATCCGTGTACCTTACTATCTTCAATGTCTGAAATGGTTTGTTTTGTGGTAACATCCTATTATTAAATATTTATAATCTCTTGAGTACACTCTTGATGCAGCTTTATGGGACATTAGCAGATTATAGACTCATTTCTAGATCAAAATACTCAACAATCAATCAATCGTTTTGATCATGTCATAACTATATATATTTATAAGTTAAGACGATTAATCAATAATTATTGACTATCTATTTTGTCTATCATATGCCTATATTGAAAATTTCCTGCATATATGATGATATTATTGTTAATTATCTAATCTTCACTCATTTCCAAAACCGAGGCTTGTAAATTCTCAATGTAAGACTTTCGCCTTGATTTTTCAACAATAATACTCAAATTTATTATCTTATACAATGTAAAGTAACTTTTAACTAATGCCGAAATTTGTTAACTCTCGATGTAAGACACTATGTCTCAAATTTTCAACTATGACACTCTAATTTATTATCTTATACAATATGAAATAACGTTTAATTTTTTAACCATAATATTCAAATTTATTATCTTATACAATATGAAGTAACGTTCAACCACTTGAATAGTATATTTATTGTTTTAAACAAACTAATATGTAAATTAAATTTTGGGCTAATACCTTAGTTTGGCCCAAACTATAGACAAACTTTCTACTTTGGCCTATGGTATCGGAAATAGTTATTCTGGCATGAACTATGTAGCATAATTCCTTATTTGGCCCTGCAAGTTGAACGGTCAACCGAGTTGACCGTTAGTCAAGGTCCAGCTCACTTCCACGTCAGCTAGTAGGAAATAAGAAAAATATTATTATCAATAAAAAACCTCAATCTATACCCTCCCCTCCCTATTAAAAAAATAATTATAAACCCCCAATGTTTTCCCGATTAAGGAGAGAGGGAAAGATATAAATTGGGGTTTTTTTAATTAATTTTTTTATTGATAATATTAATTTTTATTATTATTAGAAAGTAAAAAATACAGAAATTAAAAAAAAAATTCATGGCTAGCTGACGTGACAAGTGAGTTGTACCTTGACTAACGGCCAATTCGGTACCGTCCAATTCGACAGTCAAACCCACCTCTGGTCAAATAAGGAAGTATACTACATAGTTCAGGCCAGAATAGCAATTTCCGATACCACGGACCAGAGTAGAAAGTTTGTCTATAGTTCAGACCAAACTAAGGTATTAATCCTTAAATTTACTAATTCTTACAAACATTGTAATATGTTTTATAAACCTAATAGTGGAAGTGCTAATAATTAAAAGGAAGAAGTGTCCTTCCTAGACACATACTCCTACTCCCCCACTGAATTTTATTTTTTAATAATCTCCTTTTCGTTTTTGTTAGTTGATTAGCATCTTTCTTTGGTGAGTGAACTGATTATTATTTATTATTTAGGGGATGATGCCGCTCGAGTGCTGATGTTGTCTTCGGGTTAGATCTGGTCCTTAAACCTCATTATTTACATTATTAATTATCATTTTGTAAATTATCATTGTTTTTAGTGATATTTATGTACATTATCGTTCTCAATTATCATTTATAATACTATTTTTCAACATTTTTGGCAATTGCGACATCGTGCACCTGTAATTTAGTCAAGCAAACATTAGTAAAAAAATATTAGTTCAAGCAAACTAACATTTACACTTCAACACCAAACTTTTAATAACAATACAATAAATCATTGATAACAAAAAGTAATTTTTCAAAATAAACACAACCCACAAAAAATAATGTATGACTTCAACATTAAAAAATGACATCAAACTTTTAATAATGATATTAAAAACCATTAATAACAAATGAGCAACTCACTAATAACGAAATATAATTTTGTTGAAAATATAAAAAAAAACATTAATAATATTCAGATGCAATGACTAATATCAAATACCACAAATAACACATTAATAAAATATTCAGATAAGTTATAAATACCCTCTAAAAATGTTAATAACGAAGATGTGTTTTTATGTATAAGCAACAAAAAACTTTGATCATGATAACAACTAATTGTTATTCCGTATCTTACAAGATATTAATATCTTACGTTGTCAAACATTGATAACGCTTAATCGCTTATACACGCTCATTAATAATGACAACAACTACATTACTAACTTAGACTGAAAAATTAATTAATATAAAGCATTATCGTCTTAAACGGGGTTGGGACTTTGGTGCTCAATAAATAAAGACTTGTCTTCCCACCGAGATTTCTCGTTGTACGTTAATTAAATATTTAAAAGTGAAGAGAAAAAGAAAAGTAGAATGAAAACCAAGCAAAGTAAACAATACATGCACAGTGCATGCTCCTCGATTTTCCGTCCACCCGTTCTTCACGCTACTCAACGCACGCATGCAGCTCCATCAGTCATTTCCATCCTATAAATCATGCCACGCCGTTACTCCTACTTTCAACTATTTTCGACACGTCACGCCACACCACGCTTTACGAGTTTTCATTTTATATTATTAATTAATTAATACATCTACCATGGAACGTCTTTTTCTTTAATTTACTATTATTCACTGTCTGCTAGTCGCTAACCTTTTAGATTCCCCGCGTTTTCAAGTTTCAAATTATTAAGTTCAAAACGAGAGCAGCGAATCAGATCGCGGTCATTAGAGAGAAAGGATCTCACACAAGCCCCGAAGAGATTATTATTATTTATTATTATTGATGGTAAATTAAAGCTAAACACTCTGCTAGAGGAAGGATCCAGTGAGTTGATTAATAAATTAATGGGCAAGTTTGATTTCAGGGGTCTAATGGTGGGATACAATGCACAGAACATAGAGAAGAATTGGTGTATTGCTTAAGTAAATAAACCAAAAAAAGATGCATTGTTAAAAGTGCACACATTGTAACAATCTCAGCTGAACTATCTATCACCAAAACCAAACGACCCGTTTAGTATTAGTTCCAGAATTCAGAGTTTCGATCGTTAACTATAAAAATGTATCTTTTGCTTCGTGTTTTGTTATGAGAAGAAGAATGAATTAGTTTGCCGTAGTTTTCTTTTGTATTTTTAGAAGTAGTTGTAACCTAGATCATCATTTTAACAGTGCGTGAAATTTTTAGAAGTAGTTGTAACCTAGACAACATTCTATGGCATTTTTCTTGTCCATATATAGTTTGATGCATGCCATAACTTTTCTATTAATCTTCTCCATTCTTTTTATCATACACAAATGCTAAAGAGTTGTTGGATACAAGAACCGGGCAGGTTAGATCCCGAGTTAGATCCGGTCCTTAAACCTCTTTCTTTAAGAAGAATCTTAAAGCATCCTTATTGATTGATAATGGATTAAGTAGTTAATAAGTGGTTAGTAGTTAATAGGTAGTTAAAGGTAGATAGGGTGTTATACAAATATAAATTAATATTAATCATTATCTTTCTCTCTCCTTCCTTAATTTTCTCAATAATCCTCTATCTCCACTAAAATTAAAATGAAATTCAAAATTAAACTAATTAAATATTAATATTTGATAGAATTTGAACTTAATATTTTTCCTTTTTTAAATGAAAAATATGTGCTCTCTCACTTCGTGGAAACTAGCAATGTAGTATTAACGTTTTGCAACGACATTATCAACGTTTATGAATAAATCTTTATTAATGATTTTAATATACTTATCAATTCTGTACCAATATATTATTATCAATTTTGGATCAATTGTTACTGTTTTATATTTTCGTAATCAACGCTGATGAATGAATCATTAAAGTTATGTAACATGGTCATTAACAGTTTGAATAATAATATTATTGATTTACAACATCTTTACTAATGATTCACATTTACACGTCATGTTTATAACTATCTAATCATGATCTCTACCAATGATTTCTAATGGTATTGTTAACGTTTTGCAATCAATTTATATTTCTGTACATTATCATCTCCATTATCATTCACAATCCTGTTTTTTCAACATCTTCGACACCCGATACATAGTGCACCTGTTATTTACTCAAGCAAACATTAATAAAAAAACTATTAGTTTGGAGACGAACTGGGATAGTTGCTAGGCCTTGCAGGACAGTTGCTTGGAGGCACAAGCTGGAAGAAATTGTTAGATTGGAGACGAACTGGGATACAGAACGGATCTCCCAAAATGATTCACACCTTCCAAGCATTCTGTCAGTGATTTCTGGCAAGCTTATTGAGAACCAAGAAAAAAGAAACAATGATCAATTAGACCATATCGAGAGATGGAAGAGCCTCAGATACATCATAAGTTGAAAAAGACAAAAGACTCAAACCTCGAATCCTCAGTGGGGGCTCCGACAGAGCTGTTGCGGAAAAAGATAATCAGGGTCAAAATGCAAAAACAATCAGAGACACTTCATGGCTAATCTTCTAACTAAGCTTTTCAGCAAGGAATTTACCAACAAATGGTTTCGGCTTCTTTCTCCTAGATGAGAACAAGGGGAATGGACGGTCACCCATACAAAATGACATGGACAAGCAGAAAAAGTATTGGTGCCGAATATTAGAACCCATTGCATAACCAAGAATCCAAATAGAAGAGAACACAAAAGATATTGAAGTTGACTGAATCACAAACATACAGGACAGACTACCAAAAAGAGAGAAGGACACAAATTGAGCGGGGGACATTAATGGGTGTCTGATGGGGGAACGATTTCAAAATCTTGGAAAACGAAGCAATGGTAAAAGACGGGAAGCCTGGAGATTAACACCAAGAGAAAGGACAAAATATGGAAATGAAGCAATGAGGCAATGAGATTATGATTAGAACCCTAGAGATGAAGCCATAATTATACGATTAGAACCCTAGAGATGAACAAAAATAAACAAGGCAGAAAAGGGAACAGAGAATTACGAGATAGTTGGATGGACGTCATTGGTCTCCCCTTCGCTGGCAGAGGCACAACCAGACAAGACTTCCGCCGCAGCAGAAAGATAATGGTTTTCCATCATCTTATCCTCCTTCAATCTGGAATAGTAACTAAGAAGAAGAAGGTAGTCAAAAGAGGAATCCTAGAGGTGAACTGAAAGAAATAGGGCAGTATAGGGAAAAGAGAACTACGAGATGCTGGGAACGACGTCCTTGGTCTCCTTTTTGCCAGGAGAGGCACCGCCAGGTAGGACTTCCACCGCCGCCGCAGAAAGATCATGATTTTTTGTCATCATGTCCGCCTTCAATCTGGAGGATTAACGTAGAAGAAGGTAGTCAGAAGAGGAACCGTAGAGATGAATCGAAAGAAACAGATCAGAAAAGGAAAAAGAAAATTACAAGATGGTTGGATCGACGTCCATGGACTCCCACTATCCGGCAGGGGAACCACCAGATAGGACTTCCTCCGCCACCACTGCAGAAAGATAGTGGCTTTGCCTCATCTTGATCTCCTTCAAGCTGGAAGAGTAATGAGGAAGAAGGTAGTCAGAAGAGGCAAATTAGCGTAATTGCTTGGTGGTGACGAGGAAATTAGAGCACAAACTACGGAGAAGCTACCTGGGTTGAGCGTTCTTCACTTTCCTTGGCTTGATCTTGAGTGAAATCGATCGTTTCTTGACTTTCTTCGATCGGATTATGAGGGAACAGAAGTGAGCAAAGGCTGGTGATGGGAGAGGCTGGAAAGACGATGGTTGTTTTCTGTTTGCCAAGTGGGAAAGACGTTGAATATAAACGAAAAAACCTAAATGGAAAATAATTTCAAACATAACAATTAATAAATACGTCAGGAAGAAGAAAAATAAAAAATCAGAGCGGATCTCGACTGCAAATGATGAACAAAGAATCGCAATCTGTGCAAATTAATCCCAAACACTAAGTTCATAGAACAGGAGACGAGTGATATATGGGCCTAATTTACTCAGATCGGACCCTTACGCCACTGAAAGAAGAGAGCCGAATGATGAACAGAGAATCACAATCTGTGCAAATTAATCCCAGATACCAAGTTCGCAGAACAGGAAACGAGAGATGTTTGTGCGTAATTTACTCTGACCGGACCCTTCTGGAAGAGCAGAGAGTCGCACCTTCTCTTTTGTGAAGAAGAAAGAGATGGGGGAGATGACAGAATGGGCAAAGGAACGGGATGGAGGGTTGATTTATATAGGGTGGGGGTTGGTTATTTGTATCGGGCGCGAGGAATAATAATTAATTAATATAAAATATTATCCTCATAAACAGGGTTGGGACTTGGGTGCTCAATAAATAAAGATTTGTCTTCCCACCGAGATTTCCCATTATATGTTAATTAAATATTTATATTTAGAAAGTGAAAGAGAAAAAGAAAAGCAGAATGAAAACCAAGCAAAGTAAATAGTTTCGAATTTCCTTTTAATTGTATTGGATACTGGATAGAGAGGGTTATGGAGAAGATCATGGGAGGAGAGAAAGATAATCATTAATTATTAATATTAATTATATTTGCATAACACTCTCTTTATCCTCAACTACCTATTAACTATCAACCGTCAATTAAGTCCCTAATCCACTATTAGCCAATAGGAAGGCTTTAGAATTCTCCTTAAAGAATGAGGCTTAAGGACTAGAACCGGGTGTTGTTCACAACTCGTGAAGGGCTTTTTACATATTAGTGTGTAAATTGCAAGTTGATCGTCGAGATTATAAATATTTTTTTTGTTGTGTTTAGTCACTATTTTTAAGTCACTAAAATTACCTATCTTCAGTCTCCATTAATTAAGTTTGTTATTTGCAGACGTGGCTAACAGAACCACCTAATCATCTTAATTTAATTCGAAACAATATAAACCCGACCCACCACGTCATATAACAACCATAACCCAACTAGTGACTCAACTAGTGATCTGATAAATCTTCTATTCAATCCCTACAACCACCTCATCCCCCCACCCTCTCGGGCCGCGCTTCCCTAACCCTCCTCCGTCGGCGCCAATCCTCCAATCCACCGCCACTAGTCCGTTCCTCTTGTTCGCCCGAGCCATCTCAAGTGAATACTGTGTAACACCCTATCATGTATGCTAGTTTTTCAGTTTCTCTTTACCATTTTATGCTCATTTTTTATATCCATCCTCTATAAGTATATGGAGAGTTCAGTTTCGTTTCGTATTTAAAGGTAATCATGTGGAGAGTTCAGTTCCGCCACTCGTCTCCTAGCCATTCGACTGATTTCACTTGCACGTCTAAGTCCATTGGCACTAACCCTGAATTTGTGAGCAAAAATATTGATGGGGTGAGATGTTACTCAATAAGAAAATAATAACCTAATACAATATTAATACGAATATAATGTCAGGTTATGTTGCGAATCAGAGTGTCTTTTATCTATCTATACTATCTATTATGGCAATTCAAAAAAAAAAAATTCTTGGCACATAAGCACTTGGAGAATCCACAATTTGTCAAGTTGGACAATTTTTTACAAACAAAAAATTAGTTATTAATGTATTTATGGAGCTACCTCTCTCTTCTTTAATATTTCCATTTCTTTTATCCAATTATTCTTTTTCATTTGTCCATTTATGCTTTTTTGTCTTTAATAATAAGTTACATGTTGATAAACTTAACCAAACACACATAAATAATATTTTTTTGTTAAATAAATGAAATATAAATAAGGAAACAGAGAGTGACATATATCACATTTGTTTAAATAAAAAATATCTTATTAAACCTTATGAAGTAAATTTTCTACTCATTTTTTTCTAAAATTGAATGATAAGTTGCATTTTGATGAAAAAACTTTAACAAACATACACATAAACAATTATGGTTTAATCGATTAAACCAAAATATATATGAAAAGAGAGAAAATAAACATTTGACATTCAATTACCTTTGAAAAATAAACTATATTACTTTATATTTTGTTGCAATGAAACACTCTCTTATTCGTACAGTATATATCTATAAAATAAAACAAGTATTATTTAACAAAATGTCAGAGTATAATCTTGATTGAGTAGTTACAGTTATTAATTTAAAAAAACTTCTTATTCATTCAGATCATGTTCTACTTTAAATTCCTCAAATGAAGAGGAATTCCATGTGCAATAATTTGATAATATGTACTAAGTTCACATTAATAATATTTGCTCTATATCATGTTTATGAGCAAGCTCTATTATATATTATATAGTAGGATCTTAGTATTTGCCTCTTCATATATTATATATCGAACGATAGACAACCCCAATGGTTGTTTGGCGTTATGGGGGTAAAAGTGAGATCTCTAGATAATTTTGAGTCTAATATACACACATATATATATGTTTATGTAATATCAAGGTAACTATACTTTTTATTTTACTCAATATACGATAGAAGATAGGTATTACGAAGTATGCGCATAAATTAGAGGTTACAGAATTAGGGACTGGAGTTCACCTATTAGAGGTTAGGGTATAGTACCATGCCTCAAAAAACTCTGGTTAATTCGAGTCTAAATAGTAAAACTCAATGGACGTATGGTAGTATGGACGCAAGAGTATAGCATACTCCTGGCGCACGCTAGCTTGAACTATATATATGTGTGTGTTGTTCAGGTTGGCGTAAGCTAAATATTAGTGTTTGGTTGACAAATTTTAACATAAGTTCTAAATAGGACGTGACAACGACATAATTTATGATTAGAAAACCGAAGCATCACAAGTGAGTGTGCTAAATATTGGAAATTTCAATATAGACATACTACAAACACTATTACAAAATATTTAGAAGATCCAAAATGATTTAAACATATAATTTATAAAATAAATCTCTCCGCCCAACGGGGAGGAAAAAAGCTAGTTATACTTGTGTATAGTTAGCCGCTTAATAACGTTGCTTAGATCTTCTCTCCTTTACTTTACACTACCTGGTGTTGCGTATACTCCATATTCATTCTTATAAACCGCATCGAAGTTTATATCCCCCTCTGTGCCTGTGGTGCGAGTCTCATGCGTTGAAATATCGGAGGGTAGCCTGTTATGATTTTGCCTCGCAACGGTTAGCTTTCGGGTTGGGCTGGGCCGCTCGTCACGGTTACGGATCAGATGGGCTGAACAGGTAGCTCGGGCTGGGCTCTATTATTCTATCAACGGAACATTACCTGTGACGAAAGAAACGCTTGATACTCTTCTCAACAACGGCGCGAGAATCAGCTACGAATAGGAAAAAGGTGGCGCTATCAGCAAGGCAGTAAACTCAATCACCATGGATCAGCGTAATCTCGAACGTATGCGGCTTGATGTAGAATAACATAAAATTGAGATTCGAGTTCGATCACAATCGAGTATAAGCGCGGTACAAAGAAGTCAGGTATGATATAATCAGTGAGCCGATGATACCAGACAACAGTAATGGTTCCACAACAGCAATTGGGAAAGCTCAATCACATTGTTTGAGCTCTGAGGTTACAACAGCCAGGACCAGATGGGGATTTCTGAAATTCGGTTTATGGATTCCTTTTTATTTCTGACAACTGAATGAGTTGCCAGCCAAACCACTCCTTCCATTTGAAGCATCCATATGCAAAATGCAATACCGCCATCATCTTTTTCAGCCTTTGAGGGCGTCCTTGAGTCTCTTGATGCAATCCAATGCTCGCTCGAAATCAGCATCGGACAGTGCAGTAGTGAAGCGGCAATAGCCAGGGAGACCTGTCCACGACGCGCTGTTGATACATAGGCCTGTCCCCCGGCAAATGGCTTCCCTGATGTTCGACTCGTCAACCTTGAACTCGGATGTGCTGCTGAACTTCACCACCTTGTTCAGATATGCAGAGGGCTTCGCCACCAGGGAAATGCCGCCTTGAGGCTCCACCACATCCCACCCGGATTTCACTAGCGTCTGTTGCAAGCAAGCAAGCAAGCAAGCAAGCAAGCAATCCATCATATAAACGTAAGAAGTAAAATGTATTGGAAAACGAGGGTGCTGTATTGTAAATCATCATTTTTACCTCCTTCAAGCGCTGGGCTCTAGATTTCAGAGTTTTGGTGTTTTCAGCAACTGCATTGGTCAGTTCCTCAACTTTCTGCTCTGCCAGACCCAGCAATTTCCTTACAGCATACCTCATGGTGGCATGAGGTTTGCTCAACCCAGGGAAGCTATAAAACGCATCGACCAATGCAGGATGATTCAGAATCAGAAACCCGAATTTCAGTCCGCCAGTGAACATCTTCAGAGACATTCCTCCGAGAAGGGAGACGCAAAAAGAAGGGTTGGAGGATGCAAGACTTGATAGCGTGGCCTCCAAATTCCATCCACCCCAAGCTTTACCATCAAATTCCAACCCCGAGAATGAAGTATCAATGATAACCCGTGCCCCAAATTTGGCACAAGTGGTTAATATAGTCTCCATCTCTTTATTGCTATAGATCAATCCTGTTGGATTTGTAGTTGGACCACAAATGTACACCCAAGGCTTCTTCACAGTGTCAAGCACTTTGTTGAGTTGCTTGTCTGTCAGCTTAAACCCCTCGGAGTCAGTAGGGATGGTGACAATGCTTGCCTTCAGAAACTTGGCCGAAGAGATATAGTTCCCATTCGAGCCAGATGCGAAGCATAGCGTCCCACCTTCTAGATTGCAGCATAGGACCAACCTAGTGAAAATAGCTTGTGTTGTGTCAGTGTACACAAATTCGGACGAGCTGTCGGTTGGGAATCCATAGTTGCTTTTAACAAATTGTTTGATGCTAGGGTTCACATCAACTTCACCCTCTCCCACGTTCTGTCTTGCGAAACTTTCAAAGATTGAGGCCTTAACAGCTGATGGTGTAGGCAAGAAGCTTTGGTCTACATCCATGTGAATTAGGGCTGATGACTTCTCTTCCTCACCAATTGACAGTTCAGAATTATTAAGAACGGAGGTGGCTGAGCTTGCAAATCCTATCACCTCAACTGATTTGGTTTTGCTAGAATCCCTCTGTGAATTTGGTAAAGGAATACAGTTAGTGAACTTTGCTCCCAGATTTATGGAAGGAGCTTGATTGAACACATTTGGGAAAAAGAAAATTCATTTCAGATGATAGTGGAAGA